GTGGCATCACAGCTCACAGCAACCTCCAACTCCTGGGCTCAAGCAAGTCTCCTGCCTCTGCCTCCCAAGTAGCTGGGACTACAGGCGCCCGCCACAGCAGGTTGCAGCCATCGTTGTTTGGCGAGCCCGGGCTGGATTCGAACCTGCCACCTTAGGTGTATGTGGCTGGCACCTTAGCCACTTGAGCCACAGGCACTGAGCCAAAACATGACAATGTAAGATTCAAACCATCAAGAAGACATAACAATGCTAAGCATTTACACATCTAATAACAGGCCATTGGGTGGTGCCTGTGGCTCAGTGGGTAGGGCGCCGGCCCCATATACCAAGGGTGGCAGGTTCGAACCCATCCCCAGCCAAACTGCAACAAAAAAATAGCCGGTGTTGTGGTGGGTGCCTGTAGTCCCAGCTACTTGGGAATCTGAGGCAAAAGAATTGCCTAAACCCAAGAGCTGGAGGTTGCTGTGAGCTGTGATGCCATAGCACTCTACCAAGGGTGACAAAGTGAGACTCTGTCTCTAAAAAAAGGAAAAAAAAAAAAGGCCATCAAAATTAAACCAAAAATTGATAGCATAGAAGGGAGAAATCTAAAGTTCCACAATCACGGATGAAGACATTAATAGTTTGGCTCGGTGCCTATGGCTCAAGTGGCTAAGGCGCCAGCCACATACACCAAAGGTGGTAGGTTAAAATCCAGCCCAGGCTCGCCAAACAACAATGATGGCTGCAACCAAAAAATAGCCGAGCATTGTGGCCGGCGTCTGTGGTCCTAGTTACTTGGGAGGCTGAGGCAGGAGACTCGCTTGAGCCCAGGAGTTGGGGGTTGCTATGAGCTGTGATGCCACAGCACTCTAGGTACTCTACTCAGGGTGACAGCTTGAAACTCTGTCTCAAAAAAAAAAAAAAAAAAAAGACATTAATAGCTCATTAAAAAATAACAGAAACAAGGTTGGGTGCAGTCACTCATGCCTATAATCCTAGCACTCTGGGAGGCCAAGGCAGGTGGACTGCTTGAGCTCGAGAGTTAGAGAACAGCAAGACCCCATCTCTAGGGGCAGCGTCTGTGGCTCAAAGGAGTAGGGCGCCAGCCCCACATGCTGGAGGCGGCAGGTTCAAACCCAGCCCCAGCCAAAAAACTGCAAAAAAAAAAAAGAAAATAAAGACCCCATCTCTAAAAAATAGGCAGGTGTTGTGGCAGGCAGCTGTCGTCCCAGCTATTTGGAAGGCTGAGGTAAGAGGACAGTTTGAGGTAGCTGAGAGCTAGGATGCCACCGCACTCTACCCAGAGCGACAAAGTGAGACTCTGTCTCAAAAAACAAACAAACACCCTCGGTATCTGTGACTCAAGTAGCTAAGGCGCCAGCCAAATACACCTAAGGTGGCAGGTTCAAATCCAGCCTGGGCTCGTCAAACAACAATGATGGCTGCAACCAAAATATAGCCAGGCATTGTGGCGGGTGCCTGTGGTCCCAGCTACTTGGGAGGCGGAGGCAGGAGACTCGCTTGGGCCCAGGAGTTAGAGGTTGTTGTGAACTGTGATGCTACAGCACTCTACCCAGGGGGACAGCTTGAGGCTCTGTCTCAAAAAAAAAAAAAAAAAAAAAAAAAGAAGGGTGGCGCCTGTAGTTTAGTGGGTAAGGAGAAAACAGAAGACCTGAACAACACCATAAACCAACTAAATCTAACAGACATATACAGAACATTCTATCTAACAACAAAATTTACATTCTTCTCAAGTATACTTTGAACATTTTCTTTTGCAGTTTTTGGCCGGGGCTGGGTTTGAACCCGCCACCTCCGGCATATGGGGCTGACACGCTACTCCTTTGAGCCACAAGCACTGCCTGACTTTGAACATTTTCTAGAATAAATATGTTAGATTACAAATTCAGTCTCAGTAGCTTTTAAGAGATGGATTATCCTGTAATGCATTTTTCTCTGAACACCACAGAATACAGTTTAAAATAAAAGGAGAAAAACTGGTATAAAAAATAAGAAGGCTGGCAGATTGCTGAAACACCTATGGAGGTCCTGGTTACCTTTCTCTGAAAAAGTAGGTACTAACAAGAGCTCTTAGGTCTCAGGTATGGCTCGGTGCCTGTGGCTCAAGCGGCTAAGGTCAGCCACATACACCTGAGCTGGTGGGTTTGAATCCAGCCTGGGCCCGAATATTAAAAAAAGAAATGTCTCAGGTACTACGCCATGCTCTAAATCTCGCTATGCTTGGCAGCGTTTGTGCACACTGTTCTCTGAAATCCTCACATTATGTACGATCATTAGCCCTATTTTATAGACAGAACCTAAGGCTCAGAGAGGTTAAGCAACTTGTCAAGGTCACAGAGTAGCCAGGTCTGTCCCAGGGTCTGACTGGAAGACAAGATGGTCAGATAGACAGACATCCCAGGACAGGGGCCTGAGGCCACAAGACAAGGCAGGGACTCATACCGTAAATCTCATTTCTATAGCCCCACCAACATGCCGTCTTCTTACCGCTGCCTCAAAGCCTTTGAAATTTGGGGTCAGGACTGGGTAGTTGATGCCGGGAAACTTCTTAATGCCCTTCAAGACTTCAGTGTGGTCAGCCATCTAGGAGCAAAGGAGACAGTGCCAAGTCATCACTAGGAGAGGGCAGAGAGCTCAGTTAGAGAAAATCTTTCTATCACAAAATCTCTGTTGTCCAGAACCCTTGGAGAATGATGCCTCCTGCAAAGCTGAGTATCCCTAATGTTTTAATTATATAAAAGCCCTAGGTTTGGATGATGTCCAGTCTTCTCATGTGGCGCATACTGCCAGCTTTGCAGAAGCAGAAAGAGCAATAACAACTACTACCAGCCACTCACTGAGAACACACTCTGAGCCAGGCACTGCATTCAGCTCTGTGTTATCTGACACTCATTTTGAATCTTTATTCCTCCCACTTGGTTGTTTCTGTGAAGTAGGGGCTGTTCCTCTTCCCTTTTTATAAACACAAAGCCACAGACAGGCATAGAGATTCTGGACTTTTAGAGCCAGAAGAGGCCTGAGGGGTCATCTCAAACTTGGAGAAGGAACAGCAAGTGGTTTACTCAGCAAGTGGTGCAGGGTCAAGACAGAGCCCAAGGCTCCCGAATCCCAGGTCATGCTCTTTTCCTGCAACACAGAGCTATGAATCACCAGAAACTTCTCAAGGCTACATACAGACCTAGAAAACTAAGTTCCCTGCTTCTCTTTGCTTCAAGGGCAAATGCAAATCTTCCCAGCCTGAGAAAGGGCTTTCATTGAGGCCTGGGTCTCACCTGGGGAACCCACTTGGGAGACACAAAGCTGGTGGCTTCTATAACTGGAAGTCCTGTTTCAGAAAGCATGTCTATGAGCTTGATTTTCACTGGAGTAGGTACGATATTCTGTAGTGGAGAAACACCAAAAGACAGGTCAATAAAGCCAGTAGTCAAATGGCCACAGAAAATAGTGCCTGTGGCTTATGTAGCTCAGTGGCTAAGGCACCAGCCACATACACCAGAGCTGGTGGGTTCGAATCCATCCTAGGCCTGACAAACCACAGTGACAACTACAACCAAAAATTAGCCAGGCGTTGTGGTAGGCACCTGCAGTCCCAGCTACTTGGGAGGTGGAGGCAGGAGAATCGCTTGAGCCCAGGAGTTGGAGGTTGCTGTGAGCTGTGATGCCACAGCATTCTACCCAGGTTGACAGCATGAGGCTGTCTCAAAAAAAAAAAAAAAAAGAAGGGTGGCGCCTGTAGTTTAGTGGGTAAGGCACTGGCCCCATATACC